AAGATGTGTCGTCCGTTGTCGGGGGAATGAAACCTGAATTGGTTTCCCCCTTTGAAACCCTTTGAGATTTTTGTTTCTAAATTTAGCTTCATTCATTTGAAAACTCAAGTTGTATCACAGTTGTTGAACTATTCTTATTTCTCTTTTCCATGAAATAATTTTGGAAGGTTCCGTAATCAACGACGATGAAATTTTTGTGAAGTTGATGTCCAGTTCCATTCATCGATATTTTTATTTTGTGAGAAAATTACACAACTTGCTGTTAAAAATTTTTAATTGGTTTTCATTAATCCTTTTATTTCAAAGTTTTTATTCATCATGGATTTTTTATTTTATGGTTTGTTATTAAATTCTGATGACATCCCTATCACATGTAAAATGTGGAAAAAAATCGCCCAAGTGTCGAAAAAATCGAGAACTTGCGTGCGTTTAGCTCTGCGTGAAATTCTGCATTTAATAATACATTGTGCACATGATGCACAGAAGCACATACTTTTCATAATATTTCAGGTTGTGGGGATTTTGTCCACCAATCAAAAACAAATTAGCAATTCGAAGGTTCCGGAATGCGATGTCTTATGTGTGATCCCTGTCATGAAGGCCTAGATCAAAGTAAATAAAATCTTTGGTGTAATTTCCGTGGGTTGTTGTACGGAATGGAGAAACATTCACACGCGAAATGCACTGGATAATTCAACAATTCATGATGAACATAGAGGCCAGCATGGACCGATGCTACATTCATTCATAAGTTACTTGAATAGAAATGGTTATTCATAAATTAATATAATAGAATTGTTACTAATGACTATAACGATTCATTCAGTAGTTATTTCAGGTGCATAGTCTGACTCAATGAACACAAAATCTCCCCTGTTGCAGCCCTTGGATTTGGTTCACAATGAAATATCTGGTACTTGACGCGTACAATCAATCAGCCCTGCACTGCCGTGTCCAGAGACCATCAAACTGATATGACAGTCTCTGCACTTTTTGCCTCCCTCCGGTCTCTGGGGCCACTCATCCGAGCTGCTTTAATCACCTTCATAAATTCTCACAAAACAAGTCCACTGCCGGGATTTTCATTTTCTGGGCAGTGAATCTCAACGATGTTTTCCTGTTGGCTGCATGGTTTTAATATGTTATTTTTTTTAAGGGACGTCGACTTTGAAGGAGATACTCGTTGTAATTTTGGTTTTTGGTAAAAACTTTATATTGTTTTCCCTTTTTCTCGTTGCAATTTTTTGATTCTAGTTGTGTCGAGATTTTGAGTTCTCTTTAATGTTTAGTAAAGTTCTGTGTTCTATCTCATTCATTTTGTTTCCGTATTTATTCGCCTCCAGTTAATAAACATTCTCCCCTGTTTGTTTTTTTGCAATGTTTGTCACATAGTCTGTATTTTAATCAATAAATCAAAACATGTGCAATGCGTTAGTTATACATTTATCCACCTTCAGCGCACAAACGTTCTCATCTGTTTGTGTTATTTGTTATATTTGTTAGAACGCATTAAATTTATCACTTCCAAACATTGCTTGGCGACGAATGTTTGGGTACCTCCGTGCCGAGGTTACCGGAGACTCTCTCCATTATGGCAGGCAAGACTCGTCGGAGTCTTGGAAGTCTTTAATCGCTGTAAAAATGAAGTGGGAATGGCAAGAGTGTGTTTAGTGACAACCCTTCTTCCTGTTCATTGACCGTCTAGTGTCCGTGAAATGTATTAATAGTTGTCATTATTTTGTCTTCATATATTTAATAGTTGTCATTATTTAGCCTTTTATTGCGCGGGTTTTGCTTTCAAAATTGTGCCATCAAATTTTCACCTCATTTCCGGTTATTCTTTTTTACGAAAAATGTTCGTTGGAAACGGTATGCAAAGCAACGAACATGAAAGAGTATGTACTTTTTTTCATTAACAGCGTAAATTTTTATATTTTCTGGCACACGTCTGATGTCGTTTGGCTCTCCCTTTACAGCCGCCACGTAAACGGAATCTCAGCCTTATAGTGTCAACTTTACGTCTCGCGCTGCTGCGGACAGTGTAACAATTTGCATAGTCGTGCTTGGGTATCAGGGCCCATACTTCAAAAAAAGTTAAGAGATCATAAGTTCATCAGCCAATCATTGACGACCTTTCAAGCAAAATCCACCAATCATAGACAAGAAAATAGAGCGTAAGTACTTACGTTCGCTTAGCGAGTTTTGAAAGTATGGCCCCTGAAAAATTAGTTACATCAAGCGGTTTTCACCCCCTCACATTGAATGTTTTGAGACCTATGAGATTATTTGGATTTATATTATTAACTTTCAAAGGATTTTTATAATCTAATAAGAACAACAACAACAAAAATGAATTATAACATATTTCCATTTGGTTAACCAGATTCACTGCTTTGAATCCCATACAATTAATTTGATTCTTATTCATATTATTAAGTTTTGACTCCTTTAAAGTTCAGTTCTTAGTTTCACCGAAACACAGTGGCATTTCTGTTATGTCTTTTATTGCTGCTTATTCTTTAATTAAGCATTCATTTTATAACAAAGAGCCAGCAAAATTAAATATTAAAAATATCAACACGGTTTCCAGTAAAACTATACTCCTTATCTCAGAAGTTGAATCACTATCAACATATTCTGAACAAACTTTAAGAGCTTGCATTTTTGTAGTTTGCGGAAGCCTTTGTTAAAGTTTACCCTAGAGAAGTTTTTATTTAAAAATTTAAATTTTAAATAAATAGTTACCCGCCAAAGTTTCAGTTCAGAATAGTATTGTGATGCATTTATTATATGTATTCTATTGATCGTTGTTGTAAAGATCATCCGAAAAGTCTGCTACTGAGCAGTTACCCTCTGCCGACCTACCTACCCAAGAAAAACCAGCCTTGCTACCCTCATTTAGGCGACGACGCTGCCTCGTTACTGGAGGAATAACCTTTCCTTTATTTTCAGAGGTCTCTGCTGCCGACCAATGTCCCCTTTTATGCCACCCTGGCAAACTTGCTGAGGTTTTCCCTACAGCATTTTGACGCGAGGCTTGTCCGACAAAATATCTTAACCATACATCAGAAGGTCGGGACTTGGCTGCCATGAGGTTCTAGATGTGAGACCACTTTGATCTTATGATATTGCAGAAAGCTGCTCTTAATTACAAATATTTTGTGTAGGCACGTGCTTCCTGCAGTACAATTGCTAAATTAAATTAGGATTAGTTTCCACGACACTTACATGATATTGATGAGTAGCTCGCTGAGATTGCGCTTTATTGACCCTCGCTGCTAGCTATATGCTCTTAATAAATTGTTACACAAAGATTCTTTTTAGACAATTTACACAAATATGGTAGTGTCCTTGAGAATTTGCATTATCGTCGTGTTCTTGTTGTTGATTCAGTGCGTCCTAAACTGTCTTTACAGTTCTGCCAAATAGTTTACATGTCTGTAGAAATGAAATTGTGTGTCTGAGCTACATTTAACGCTCATCAAACGTTATTTAATGTGTTTGTTTGATATCGTGTGTTTGCCAAAGGTATGCTTCTCCACTGTGCAATACTCGCTCATTTCGGCTTGTGTGCACGCGGTAGTTATTTAAACAAATAAATTGACAAAATTGGAAAATAAATTCAAACATATGCATTCATCTAGGACAAAATGGACGAGAAATGCAAATTAACTCGATGCGTTTCATTTGTTTGCTGAGCCTCGATATGGCGGCACCGCGAGACTGAATGTCGCTATACAGGCATGCTTCTCTCTAGAAATGCGTTTGAGGTAGTTGCATAACACTCATAAAAATACGAGTTGTAAAAGTTTTTGTCAAAATATTAAAAAAAACTTCCAGTTTCAAATAATTCTATGTGCCGCGATGAAACTCTACGTTTTCCTCTAATTTAGTCACGGTTAACAACTATTTTTCTAGCACTATATAATCGGCCTGAAAAATTTACTTACTTGATTAAGATAGTTAGGTACTCATTTCTAAATTTTTGGGTTTGGGTTAAAGAGATAAGAAAACAAACTATTCATTTCATGCTGAAACCGGGTGTCATTAAAATCAGTTATATCATCGAATTGTCTATAGCATGTGTTAACTCTTAATAATTGTAGTAAACATAACACATGCCGCTGAAATAGAATTACATGCAAATGAACTTGGTTTAAAACGCCTTACCAGTCATAATGAGTGAAGAAAAATACCCTAATCGTCTTGGTCATTTAACAAGTACGGTACCACATTGTTGATCGGAGAGAAACGCAGCGACTCTATTGGATTGAGTCCTTGAAATGCTTGACTGGGTTTATACTCGTGTGTGAAGCAATTTGTTCTCGGTTAAATGTCTTCGTCTGGTTTTGACTTTATGACCAGCCAAGCTGCCCAGCTTAATGTCCGTTCAACACCTGACAAATCGCTTACCTCGGCCATCGCGATCTTTTTATGACATATTTTACGACTAATAACATCTGCGTTTCCTCCGTGCTTTCGGTAGAATTCGACATAGTACAAGTAGGTTTGGCTTGTCAGTAAGCGAAAATGGTTGAATGTATTCTAGCTAAATAGCTGAAGCGATAGTAAACATGTGGCCACTAAACTAAATGGAATGTATTCATTGTATTGTTGTAATGGAATAAAGTTGTTTTATTGTTTAATAGTGAACCGCATTTCAAGTTTTATTTCAGCGTTGACTGTCCTAAACATCCTTTCAGGTTTTTAATACAAATTGTTAAATGCATTCAATGTTAATAAACGTATTTTCTTCTTGTTTCAGGTATTGTATGGGTGGCGGGAGACAAGCGCGGTGATGCACTCTACTTGATCTGGTAGGCTCGAACAATTCTCTCATTGCAATGTGTGATGTACTGTGCTCAAAAATGTTCGTTTGGTTATTGGTTCACTGCTCGGATGTTATGCATAGGGCGTGCTTCAAAACTCCTTTTCTAGGCCTCAAATTTTAATGGAGGAATTGGATATATTAACCTTTCCTTTTGGAAAATTGATAAAATCCAAAATAAAATTACACATGTTGTAATTTCTTGAACGTTGGTAAGTCTTCCTTGGGCCAAACTCGGCGAAATGAGACAAGTTTGAACAAAGACATCTTCATTTCAAAATGTCACCAAGTGCAATAATGTCGACAAGTCCCCACTGACGATATTGGACGAAGTGATGGAGGTGGAGTTACCGATGGTGGAAGAAGCCGAACACGGAGGTGATGGGTGAGGACGCCTGGCTCTGGAAGAAGAAGGGCGTGAGGAGGCAGAGGCGAGTCCACGGCCTCCAACGACCTCTGCACCCACAGCAGGTCGTCGGTTGGGTCGTGGTTCTCGTCATTATTGCCTTTATGTATGGCGCCGTCGTGCCCGCTCTTCACTCGAGCTTTGTGGCTCCCGTGGCTGCTGCTTCTGCCACTCTCTTCCTAGCACATCTTGTGGCGCACACCACAGCGCTTGCTTTGGACCCCGCACATCCCGCCCTGCGCGCGCGCCCTGACAAAAAACTCGTACCGGAGTTCGATCGCTCGCTCCACTCACATGTCATCGAGAACGGCCGTTGCCACTTGTGCAACATCACGATCACGTCTGCCCGTACCAAGCATTGTAGTTCGTGTAACAAATGCGTCGACGTGTTTGATCATCACTGCAAGTGGCTCAACAACTGCATCGGGCGTCGCAACTACAGGGTATTCCTCGCCACCGTGATCACGGCCATCCTCTCGTGTCTACTCGTCATGGGGACTTGCCTCACTGAAATCATTCTCTACTACTTTAATCGTCAATATTTGGCACCGTGGGAAAATGGTATACCCACAGTGATGCCTTTGGAAGATCTTGAAGAAGAAACTCATGTTACTTGCCAAGCTGGCTCTCCTTACTGCCATTTTTCGGTTTTTGGAGCTCGAGTTTACGACGGTGCATTTATAGGCCTCTTGTCTACGCTGTTTTCTATTGCTCTTATTGCTGGTGTGCTGCTCATCCATTTGGTGGCCTTTCATGTCTATTTGCTCATCCTGGGGCTGACGACTTACGAATACATCCGCAGCACGAGTCTCGCCGCTTCCAACTCTGCTCACTCTTTCGGTGGTCGCACCGACCCTCCTCGCGATGGCGCCGCCTGCGGTTGGAACATAGGCTCTAGGCAGACGAATAATCAAATCACACCATCGTCGACCACCGACACTACACTGCTTTCGTCTCCTGACCCTCCTAGCACGACCACCACTAGCCCTGGTACTCTTTCTCCTCGCTCGAATCCCTCCACCCCTGCAGACGACTCCCGCCACCTACTTGGTGGTCGACACCTTATGGTACACCACAAGCAAGCGGGTCCACAACTTTCCCCAAGAAGTCTCCCTTCACCTCGCTCATCCACAGTTCCCACCCTGCCCAAGATACCCGGGGCTGAACGGCCGCTACGTACAGTGAGCCGTTCAGTTTCTTCGTTCGATTCTAGTGATTCTATTCCCAAAAGCGAAGATGGTGACGTAACGGTGCATTTGGTGGCAATACCCCGACCACCAAGAGCAGTTCGACGCCGCTTACGCTCGAGTGTAGTGCCCCACTTGTCTCCGATCAAGGAGTGCGATATAACCTCATCCAGTCCTCCCAGCTTACGAAACTTAGACCGTGACTCCGACAGTCCTTCACCCTTTACTTCTTGCCCGTCGAGTGTTCTGCCCAACAGTATTCAATCGAGTTCTCCTCCCACCGTAACGTTTGGTAGGTTTTCTACCGGTAAAAATCAACGTCCAAGTCCTTCACGCTCTACCGACCACAGCGGTTCATCGAGCCGAGTGTCCGGCCGTGAGAAGTACGGCCAGGTTAACAAATCCAGTCCTTCAGTGCCAAGTCCGTATAGGAAATATCCTCCACGAGGTGTCTTAAAGAATGCAAATAATTGCTCCTCCACATCATCAAACTTAGTTACTTCGAAGAATGATAGAAGTCCGCGGCGCCCTGTTTCGGCACCCGCTCAAATACACATCATTAGGAAGAGTTCTAGCTTTTACGGATCCAATAGGATAGGAACTCCTACTATACGCTTCAAGCTCCCAATTAAGGAGACTAACGGACATATCATCACGGAGACTGCGGATGCTACGGTCGTGGCCGGGACCGCTGAGGACTCCGCTGCCAACGGCAACGTCTTGTCCATCGTTCGCTCGAGCTCTGATGGTCTGCTCATCAAGATGGGAAATGTGACGCGCGGTGGCGTCTACATTGGACCTCACAAGTCCGACTCCATTCTCAATTCTATTAGCTCGCGTTCTTCGAAAAATGCCAAAAATTTTGTCGAGCATCACATGTAGTTAAGTTTTGTAGTTTTCTATAGAGTATTGGACTATTGGTCCGTATAGATTGTACTGGTATCATTAGATATTATTCCAGAGCATATATAAAGTAGAGAATGATGTTCCGAGTGATAAGTGTCTCATGTTCGTTATTCTGTAGGTTTAGTTCGTAATACCTCTAGTCGAGCGAAGCTGGTGTTCTGTCATCTAAAGTTCGTGTGACTACTTGATTGTCTAGATTACATTTTGTTCATCGTATAGAAGTTCCTCTGCATGATATAACGCTGGTGGTGTGAAGAAAAGTTGTGTCTGTCGATTGATTTTGCTTCAGGTGAGTTCTCATATTTTATATCCCATCTCGGACGACGCTAAGACATCGTACCTATGTGCGTTATTCAATGATCAAATTACTTATTAACAGTCTAACGTAGCATTCACACACCTAATTTGTCCTCACTGCTATACTTTCATCAATATCAAACTTCTTCAATAGCCACCAAGTGGGATTTTTAAAAGACCTTTTCTGTAATTAGGTGTTTGATTTTGCCGAATGAAACTTCCTCAGCTTGCGATTGAAATTTTTTTTCGAATACGAGGACCAAACTCAAATTCAATTCGAGGACGTTTTCATATTCCTGTTCAAGATTGAGTCACACTCAAATATAAGGCTTTATCTACTGACAGATGGTTGCAGGTTATATTAGGGGACTTATCTATATCATTATATTTTCATGTATTTTCGTTTGTTAACTTAGATTTATATTCCAATATCTATTTTAGTTTTTCAATAATTTTCCGTGATGATTGAAAAATCCCCTGGACAAATATCGCTCCGACAACTAATTGATGATCGGTAATCACCTGCAAATAAGTTATATTATACCTTCCGGATCTTGTTAATAATCTTCACTTATTCATTTAGATTTTAGGACACAAGCTGATCAAAAAAACAATTTCATGCGGTTTTGTTGAGCAGTCTTTATGCAGCTGTTCTATTGATGGATAAGCGTAGGAAATGTCCGTTTCTTAGCTCCATAGCAGTGGTTCCCAAAATGGATTGCTTCCTTGTATAGATTATTATTTTTCGGTTGAAACATGGGTCGAGTAATATCTTAGGTATTTAAGTTAATTAATTGAAGTAAAGTTATTCAATTTTGAAAAGAGATCACATGGTTTTTGGGATTTGTGATATTTGGTAACCGGATAAAAAACATGTTGGGAACCACTTCTCTATGCGATGTCTGTTGAGGCTGCGTCTAGTTCTAGTGCAGGTATACATGGATGGTCCTCTAGTAAAGTACAGTAGCTCTAGCGAGGTGTCTCATTAGAGTAGACCCTTTATATATAAGGCTGTGATATAGAATCCCATGAAATGCATGTTTATACATGCTTATGAAGACGACAGCGCTGCTAGGAAAAATCCGATGTATATTTTATCTAAATGTACATGTCCCGTCTTCCAAGCGACAAATAATGTCCCTTAAGAATTAATAAGACCTATAATATTGCTGCTCTTCTACTCACGAGCAAATAATTGACAGACGTTACTAGCAATAATAAATATCTAAAAATTTATCAGACGGCCAACATTAATTGTACGATTCATTCGTTATAAGTTACCATGCATTAAACTGCATCCACATACAAGCCTGCTTTGGCCGAGAATTACAACAAACTGATATTTGAATCAATGATCCCAATTTGAATTAAGATCAGGAGAAGGAAGGCATATCAAAGTTACTTAACGCGAGTTCATTTTCAATGAATCGAGTCAAACTATAAGAATAAAGAAATTTTCCATTATTTCAATAAAATCCTTTTTGGGCAGGCGTATAGAGAGTGTATTCGGGATAGTCTCAAATGGATGACTTACCTAGCATTCATGTCTAGATGATGATTAAAAAATAAATGATTACGATGATTAATTCAACTAGAGACTCCTATAATTGGCTAGAAATTAGTTGAAATGGAATTTGAATTCTGATTTCGAGGCCATGGTGAGTTCAGATGCGACAAGTGCGCCGCTGCAAAGTATACTGGATACATAAATCGAAGTTGTGAAAAAACTTCCCAACAAACTTTTTTCATTTCGTAATCATATACCGGCGCATGTATTTCTAGTTGTTTTATTGTAAGTTGGGTCAAAGTGTGCCGCTTTTTAGTAATCGAATACGCATTGGCGGAGATGAAATACGTTATTCCTTATCAATGGAGAAAGAATTAGAGTAGTAGGTCATGTGTTGTGCTGGTCTTCAAATGGACAGCTTGAGCTAATCGTATGCATACCGGGATAAATAGATGTAATAGTAACCAATTATATTTACTTCAAAAATTAATTTAGTCGAAAATTCTCTTTAATTTAAGCTAAGTATACAGTGAAAAATTAGAGGGTTGGGTACCTTGACCGCTCATTCGTCAAATTAGGTTAATATTTTGCCCAAATTCTGTATGCATTATAATCAGGGAATGTTCCCGGGAATTTCCGGCCATGTTCTTGGTTATTAAGTCCTGAAATAACTTGTTTTATGTCGCACTGCTCTGGATTGCTCGTTATGTTTAAACTTCTGGGATTGGAGTTAAGCCGAATAACATTCTCAATTGGTTTTATGGCGAAAATGCTCGAAAATTAGATTTTTTCCATTAACTGTATACAGAATCGATTAAGTAATCGCCGAGACATGGAACTGGGCAGAGAAGGAAGTGATCTTTTCAAATTTGTTACAAAATGTTTACCAGTTTTATTATGATCGAAGTTTCTTATTTATTTCTCACACCATTTTTATTGTTACTTTACACGGATTTATTTAGACCAATATATGCTGAAAAATCAAAGTGTGCGTACAATTCATGTAGATAATTTATTCTTAAATAAGTTTCCTTTTGAATAAAAAAATAAACGGGCGTGATGCACTGAATTTTGAGTTCAGTGTATGTGCTTTGATCGTGTCGCTGTTGAAAATGAAAGTACTTAGTTAATATGTTTCAGTGTAATATGGTTAGGCCTCCAATTTGTGTGCTTATCCAGACGCTATAATTGTACTAAATTAAATTGATATTTGGTTGCAATGAACCATTCAAGAGACATTTCAGAGTGCAGATCATTCTCATCGGGCTGAAAATTGACTAATATTAAGAGGTTATCAAATTTTATATTTATTAATTCTGAAGGGTTACTGTAACCCTTCAGAATTAATCAATAAGCGTCATTTATCATTCAGTAAGTGTAACTTAAACTTACTGAATGATAAATGACGATGAATTTTTATCGTTAAGTTTCTGCCATGCCGCATGCTATTTTTAGCGCATTTTCTTATTTATGGAAAAAATATAAATCAGTACTCACTGCAGTGAGTGACAGAGAGCGCATTTTCTCGTCAACGAAAACTTGAGGTCACGGACGGACGGACGGACAGACAGACGGACGTGGCGAGCACAATAATGCATTTTTTCCATAAATGAGAAAATGCGCTAAAAAGGCGCTATTGTGCTCGTCATGTCCGTCCGTCCGTGATTTCACGGACGGACGAGAAAATGCGCTCTCTGTCACCCACTGCAGTGAGTACTGATCTAATTTTTTTGCTAAGAACGCTCAAATAATAAGCTGGCAGAAGTTGAGGTTTAGTTTGCGTGCAAGTCGATCGAGATATTCGTGATGGTTTTGCAATGAAGCATGTCGCGCTGTTCGTCTGTTTACATATCTAAAAGATTCGTCCATCGCTACATGTTGTCAAGGCTTGTATAAGATTTTTTTGCTCAAAATTTGTTGCATTTTTCACAAAAATCGCTAATTTTCTCTATTTTAAGTTTTCAAATGATATTTACGATCAGTGTTGAAGTCGTAATTGTTACGACTTCAACATAATTATTCAACTTAATCGCGAAATTTTACTTTATTTGAATGCTCGCACGAGCTTATTCAAAGCAAATTAAAAATTTAGAAATATTATTATTGCGGATCTGTTCCGTAGTTATATATCTCAGTAAACCAGGATTTGTTTATAATATATAATACACTATAATTTGTTTTAATTGCGGTATACAAATTTTACTGCTAAGCCTGATATAACAAGCTGTGGTAGACGATCGTGACCCAGTGTTTAACCCTATACTTTATGTCTATGATTACATTAACTATTTAATATGATTATATTAACTATTAACTATTATATTTACTATCATTGTTGTTGTCTTTGCTGTCTTGTTGCTTAGTGCTAACTACCTGCTCCAAGTGTCGTAGATAGAAATAAACCTCAGCAGTTATTTTAGCTTAGGGTTGCACTGAACTTACATTTTTCGCGCTAAGATAAGCAAAAATTCGATTAGTTAGATTGCTTATGTATTCAACTTTAGTTTGTCGTTGGGTTTTAGGTACATTTAGTTTAGGCACATGCGTAAAATTGAAATTTTGTGATAATTTTAGATAGCTCCTTCGACTGATTTTTTTTCTCAGTGAAGTGAACAGCTATAAATCTATTTTTATTTGTTGTTTTATGTATTCTAATTTTCATATCTCTTGCCTGCGTCTTAGCTCAATATAATGCTTTATGTTCCTATGAACATATCTCATAATCACTCACCCTGACAGTGACGGTTGATAGTTATAATTAACAGCCTTCATAATGTGACACTCGTTCGTGTCTTGCGAAATAAAGAATTCCGATTATCTTGTATTTTTTTGTGCGACGCATTTTATGGAAAGTATTCGATGAATTGATCCGCTAGCAATTGTTGCATGAAATAGAACGTTTAGAAGCGAATGAGAATCTGTCCAAATAGTGATGCGTCTTTTGCCCTTTTTTTATGGGTCATCCTGACCGATTTTCTCCCTTCAAAAGGGCGTATCAGTTTTACTTTCGCTCTCTAACTACTCAACCTAACAATTATTTAACTAACACACGCAAATACTTGGCGAACCATTGGCTCAAACCGTTTAATCAGAACAGATAAGTTTTAACTTCTTCTAGCAACCAACGATTATAATGAACTAATATAAAAATCATCCTATATAATTGTTCCTGACTTTTATTTTCAGTGGAGTTTTAAGAATTTCTGCTCATTTACAAGACGTAATTTCAAGGGAACAATTATAACAGTGTTGCTATTCAGCCGTCTGAAGATCAAGTGTCTTAATCACACTTCATTTGATTGTAACTCACGAAGACTTTGTTCCGTCCCGTCCATTATTTAATAAGATAAGTTCTTTCATTGAAGCTTTACGTGATCTCAAAGGCTACTTTAAGTGCTAATCAGGGTCGGCCATTGCAAAGTCACTGTTAAAGGGCCGTTGTTCTGTAATTTTTGTTAATGTCTCCACAAGATAGATGCTGGAGACGCTGAATCCTGAGGCAGCCGTAACTCTTGGAGCTAAAATAATGAAATAATTATTTAAGGATTGTGCTGTAGCTCTGGAACATTAATTTTTCTACAATAAACCCTGAAGTTCGTGGTTGTTTTGATGCCCTTATCTCCATTTCGATCTAAATTGGATCCATGTCACGATCTATATGATCCGAGCGACTTTGTTTTGATTTTTTTGCTTCTAAAGGTTTTAGCGCATTTTCTCATTTATGGAAAAAATGCACTATTGTGCTCGCCATGTCCGTCTGTCTGTCTGTCCGTCCGTGACTTCACGTTTTCGTCGACGAGAAAATGCGCTCTCTGTCACTCACTGCAGTGAGTACTGAGTTATATTTTTTTGTATTTGCTGATTGCAAAAAGGCTTTCAAAATTCAGGAAATACAATAATAGTGGTATGGGATGGGTAATATGGCCTGACGGATTGTTAAACTGACGGGGATCCTGAGCAAAGCCTTTTGTTACTTTCAAATGATTTCATGAATAATTTCCTTCATAGTATCGTTGCACAAGAAAAAATCGCACCTAAAATGCTGCAATAATTCACGATTTTAATTAGCATGAAAAGCTTCAGACACCAATTTTGTGGCACATGGCCTCGCGCTCGAGGAAAACTATATGCGAGTCCCTCTTAGTTTCTAAAGGAAAAGTGTAATGAATGTTTTGATGTTCTCCAACGTGATCCACGATTCATAGTTTCACTC